AAGCTGCCCCAGTGGAAGGTGTCCCTGCCCGTGGCAGGGGTTGGAGCTGGAGGAGCTTTAAGATCCCTTTGTGATTCTGTGATTTTTCTGCCTGGTTTTTGTATTTTATCCCTATTTCTGTCCCTGTGCACAGTGCACTAACACTGTGTTTCCCATTAGCTGAATGGAGGATCCACATCTTCATCTCACAGTGACCTTCAGAGTCCTGGGAAGGAATCAGAGGTAAAACCCCCAAATATTCCCCCTCCCTTTTACGTACCACTGTACGTACCTGCCTTATGGTGTAACAGAGCCTTGCAATGCCTTTTCAGGTTTATCTCTCAGATTTGGGTCCCTTTACATCCACCCAGCAACAAACCTCAGGTTTCGTTTATCCCTTGTACTGTAGATGTGCACGCAACGGAGCCATGAGCTGTCACAGCACTGGTTCCAGTATGGGGGTGTCTGCATTGCTGGGATGGATCCATCACCCCTTCAGGTGGTTGATCAAGGCCAGGTGAAAGGATGTCCACAGGGAGTTTGAATCTTAAGTGTAGCTATACTGGAGAGCCACAGGGCAGGAGGATGGAGCTGTGAGGTGCAAGTGCTGTTACCAGGAGCAAGGCAGGCTGAAAGGAAATAGAAAGCAAGGCAAGGAGCTGTTAGCTTGGAGCACAGGGGGTTTATCAGTGCGTAAAGAGCCGCTCGAGATGGGAGGAGCGTGGGTATGGTGACTGCAGGACTGGGGCTGTTTCTCCGGTGGAGCCTCGCAGGCCAGCTGTGCCCAGGCATGGCCGAGCGCCTGCAGCCTGGCATCTCCGTGTGTCCCTGGGCATTAAATAACACCCGTCCTGATGAGCTGCCGTTGGGAAACCGGGCTGTGTCCCGAGAGCAGCACATCCTCCCGTGGGGTGTTTCAGAGGTGGCTGGGTCCCCTCTGCACTAGGAACCAGAGGTGCTGGGGCTGGTGGGGGCTTTGCCTGTGGCTCTTACCCTGGTGTGCTCATGGAAGCCACCGCCCCCTTCACTTTGCATTCGTTAAGCCGGAGCCATTACCTTGCAGCGCTGGTGGAAAACCTGCCCATGGTTATCAGCAGGGCTTGTGCAGTCATTACATTGGAGCTCTGTGTGGTCGGGCAGCAGGGGAGGCTGAGATGAGCCCTTAGGCAGAAGCTCTTCCCTGGGAGGGTGCCCAGAGAAGCTGTGGCTGCCCCATCCCTGGCAGTGCTCAAGGCCAGGTTGGACACAGGGGCTTGGAGCAAGCTGCTCCAGTGGAAGGGGTCCCTGCCCATGGCAGGGGTTGGAGCTGGTTGAGCTTTAAGGTCCCTTCCAACCCAAACCATGCCATGATTCCATGTTTCCCTATTTTCCCCTCCTGCATTATCCCAGCAGACAGGCAGAGCAGCTCTTCCCCCCCCCTCCTCCCGGCAGCAGCTTCTCTGTTCCTACTTTTCCACTTCCACACGTTCTTCAGGTGGGGGAAAGAAAACAACCCACGAGGTGCAATGTCATAATTAACACCGTGGCCACACGGATGCTGCTGCCGCCACTGAAACCACAGGCCCGGCACGGAGGAGGGACTTGGACCTTCTCCTCCCAAAGAACCCACCCCGAGTGTTTGCTCGTGGTCTGTGCTGCAGAAACGCCTCTCCTGGGGCATGTGGGGTGAAACGCTGCAGGACACCGCGGCCGTGCGGTGGTGGTGGTGGTGGTGGTGATGGGATGCTGACAGCTTTGCTCCCTTCTCCACGCAGGATGGGGACATAGAGAAGAAAGACCCGTTTGAGGAGAGCGGCTTGTCCCTGAGCCCAACGGCTGCCGAGGCCAAGGAGAAGGTGAGGGCCAAGCGTGTGAAGAAGAGAGCCCCGCAGATGGACTGGAACAAGAAGAGGGAGATATTCAGCAACTTCTGAGCCTTGCTGGTGGCCACCGTCCACCTCAATCCTGCCCCAGCCTGGACGTTCTGAGGTGCCTACGCCCTGTCCTTCAGTGTCCACGTGAGATGCTTTGTGCTCTGCTCTTCACTGGTTGCTTTTACAAGGCGTATTTTAAAGTCCTTTTATTTTGTATTTTTTATTATTATTATTATTATTATTGTTGTTATTATTATTGTTGTTACTCACCAGCGATTCTCATAAGACAAATGTGACCAAAGCTCCTCTTCTTGCTTGCTCTGGCTGCCCGCCGTCCCCTGTTCCTATGAGAAAGGACTGGAAGAGTTTAAACTCTTTATTACCTGCATCATTTAGGCTTCTATTACCTTTTTCTAGTTGTATTTGGGGTGTGTGTTTGGTTTGTGGGGGTCCCAGGCTGAGCCCCATGGGATGCTCCGTGCCCTTGTGCGATGTTGTACGGCCTCATACCCCCATCGTGGTGGGGACCTGCAGGCTGGGGTATACCTGGCAGCCCTCCCCAGCACCCCATCCTCTGCTCATGCGATGGGAACATGGACAGTGGCTGTAAATGGCTCTTGTTGGCTTTGCCCTGGAAATGAAAAAGGTTGGTTTGTTGTTTCCTTGTTTTTTTTAAGTGAAGTCCCATATGTTTCTGGTTAGTTTAGGAACCTTCCTCCCCACCAGTGACATGTGCCCGGGTGAGAAAAGCCCTTTTTCATCCCTGACAGCTCTGCAGAGGGGAGGGCAGGATTTAAACACAAACCCCAGACACCACAGGGCTCACCATTCACACCATCAGTGCAGTGCTGAGCGCTGGGGGAAGGCAGGGAGCGGGGCCAGTTCTGCCCTGTGATGTGAGGAGCAGTGCTGCCTGCCTGGCTCCAGCAGCACTGCAAGAGGACAAGAGCCATGAGATGCTGCAGAACCTCTTTGGACTTGGAAATGAGCACAACCCAGCATCTGTTTCCAGGGAGGAACATGGGGATGGGGCTGCAGCTGTGGGCTTGGTGCTGGGTCCTGGAGCAGGGTCCTGGTCCCAACTTCTGGTATTTGGACTCCAGATTTGGAGCTGGTGTTTGATGCCTCCATCCTATAACTGCGTCTGTCTTGACAATAGGAAGGTGTCCTCGGAAGCCTGAGGTCTCTGTGGGCTGGATATGAAGCAGGCAGTGGTGTTAGGGAGTGGGCAGTTGCTTTGGCTGTCTATGGCCTCCTTCGGAAACACCCTGCTCTTGGTAATAGAACCTCAAAAATGTATTGTTAAAGCATTACAAATTAAGCCCATTAAAGCTCTTTATTACTTGCCTTTGGCTATAAGGGAAGGAGGAGGATGAAGCTCAACTATAACCCTCTCTCACAGGTTGCAGAGGTGTTCTACCAGAGCAGTGGCCCAGTCGTGATGGGGCTGCCCCATCCCTCCTGTGCCCCAGCAGCTCCCCAGGCTCTGCTGCCCCATATTTCATCTCAAATGCCATGGCAGCAGTGGGAAGGGACTGGGACAGTTGAGTACAAAACCACTTTCCCAAGCTAAAGGCAAGTGGCAGCAATCCCTTGGACATGGATGACCATTGAAAAGCACATGGCTGTGATTTTGCCCTGCATTACAAGCCCGTGGCCTTTGGATTGATTGGTGTCTTATGGATATTGTAATGGCTCTGTGTGCATTGCCCACATATTGAGCTAAAAGGTGCCTTAGAACGTTCACTGCTCTCCTTGGCAGCCGGTCAGGCTCAGCACAGCAATGGGTTGGTGCAGGGCAGGGACACTTGGCTGTTTGCTGGCTGACAGGAGAGTCAGGAGAGCCTCAGGGGTGAAAGAGATGAGTTCTTTTTTATGGAAGTTATCTTTTATAGGAGCATGGATGGGCTGAACAGGTTGGAAACAGTGACTTGGGAGAGGAAGTGGTGCAGGTGTTTGGCTATGGGGTGAGACTGGCAGCGGGATGGTGGCTCAGGATGCAGAGAGGTTTGCCTCCCCTCCAGGACTCTGCCATTAAGAGACCTCTTCCCTTGTGTTCCAAGGCAATTCCCTGCTCTCTTTTTGCCCCCCTTCCCAAATACCTCCTTCTGTAAGTCAGTAATCTCTTGAAGGAGCCCTTTCCCAGGGTGTGCACGTTGCTTCCCGTGCCTGCATAGCCAAAGCCGCAGCAGTGCCCCGGTCTGCGCAGGGCAGAACGTTCCCCATGCCACCAGCCTCCACGTCTCACTCTGATGCATGTCAGAGAGCAAAGAGCTGTTTGTAAATAGCCCGTTTCTCACACCGGGCTGCACCGCTGTAGCTGAGGAGGGGGATGAAAGAGAACGTGTAGTTTTGAATGCAGATCAAAGGAAATCAGGTGTGCTAAATGTGTACCGATAAGATTCTAAAATCTTAAATCTCTGCTTATGCCATGGAAACTGCTCCTGGTTAAAGCACTTAGCGTCTTCCTGACATCTTGTAGCTCAGTAATAATCATTCAGTTCCTGTACCTTTAACTTGGAAAAAAAAATCAATAAAGTATAAGGCTGTCAGCTGCATTGCAAAACCATAATGTACACTGTAATGTCAGTAATAAACTTCGTTTTCCCATGTACCAAGTACGTATTTGCTCGCTCCTCATCTGTTTGGTTGGGAACTCGAGAGCGGAATTACAGCCTCCTTTAGCACATTATAAACTTTGCTTCCTCCCTTGCCTGTTTAAAGAGTAGCTGGGATTATTCCTTTGAAGCTCTACAATGAAGTCAGCGCTGCCCTTTCTTTGAAGAACAAAACACCGACGGTGGTGCTGTCCCTCCTGTCAGCTTCCGAGGCACACACCAGCCTGTGGCCACTGTAACCCTTCCTGGGTTACACTGAAGCTGAACTGAGAGTGATGCTGATTTGTCTCCTGGTGCCCCTACTCTTCCACCAGGACCCAGGTCACTTGTCCAGGTAATGCCCTCCTCTGATCCTGGCTCCTCAGGGCTTTGGTTGTACCTTACTCATCACAGTGCCCCTTGCTGCCTGGGCTAGGAGGTGGCTGGGCATGGTGCATGCTGCCTGCTCTCATCTGGCAGGGCTGGTTGCTCTGGTCTCACACTTTGGTGAGATCCCCTGTGCTCTCCTCCCTGTGCCCTGCCTTGCACAGATGCCAGCAAACCTCATGGGTAGAAACACCCCGCCACCTTTATTACACATGTATTTACAAGCAGCAGCAGCAAGTCCTCCAGGACAAAGCTCTTCCCTACAGCTCCTCCTGCTGCAGCGCAGCTGGGCCATGCTCAGGCATTCACACACGGGCTGGAGCCTTTAGCATTGACCCAGCAGGACTGCTGCACTCTGAAAGCCCCTTTTTCCTCTGAGAGCTCAGCCCTTGCCAGCGGCTGCTCGCTCCCCAGTGATGCTGAGCTGGCTGCAGCAGGCTCCTGTTTCCCTGCAGTCACACAGCCAGCCCCGTGCAATGCACAGCTTTGCCAGGGCTCAGCTCCGGGCTGCTGCTGAGCTGAAGCAGCTTTGTTGCTCTCCAAAGACCAGATGACCCCTCAGTGTCTCTTAGCAGCTGGGCAAATGTCTTGATTGAGGCACTCGGTGCAGCGCGGATTCACAGGCAGGCAGGTCTGCTGGCCAAAGCCCACCAGGAGCCAGTTTATCTCCCTCCAGAGATCCCTGCAGTGAGAGGAAAAAACATGAGCCCAAATACAGCTGCTTGGAGGGGTTAAAGAACAGCCTGTGCTTCTAAATGGATCCCTTTCGCCTACTGCCTGTTCCTCTTGGCTCCCCCAGGCGCCTGGAGGCGGCTCCCAGCCTCCTGCTAAAAGCAGCTCTCCCAGCCTTTCCTGAGCCCTCTGAACTGCACTGGGGAGCAGAGGATGGACACACAAAGTGCCTGTGGTCATCCTCCTGTGCTAAGACAGGTGACAGATGTGGAGGTGCAAGAGTACCCATCAACCGGTATGTGATGCTGAAGATTAAGCATCAGTGAAGGCCAGAATCCAACCCTGCTTTGATACTGCTGTGGCCACTGCACTCAGCAAGAGCCTGTGTAGAAAAGCACCTGGCTTGGGTCATGCTAAACTTGTCAAGGTAAGAACTGGGCATCGAGCCCTCCAGGTACCTGGCTGCAGTAGTGCCCGATAGCCAGGAAACAATCACAGAGCTGAGATGCTGCAGCTCTCTGGGAGAGGAGAAACAACTGCAGAGCAGACCCCATAAAGAGGAGGGACCTGAAATGCAGTCACTGGAAAAGCTACAAACAGGACTGTGTGCAGATCTGGCTCCTGCAGCCAGCGAGAGGCTTGGTGGTGGTGGTGGAGGAAGGAGGCTCACCTGGGCAGCCATTCCTCCAGTGCCACCCGAGTATCCTCAGGGTATTTGGTCTCCTTCTTCACCCACTTCAGCCTGTTTGAGATCCTGTGCACGTGGGTGTCCACAGCTAAGGAAGGGAGAGCCCAGAGTTTAGGTGGGGGCAGAGACACCAGAACAGAGAGAGCACAGCCAAAAGCTGCAGTCACAGCACGCCAGGTCCAGTGCCCTGCATGGGATCCCTCATGGGTCGGGTGGAACAGGAGGGGAGGCTTATTCACAGAGCAAATGTGCTGCTTTCTTCCTAGGCCCAGGGCCAAAAGCAAGGTGGGATGGGTATCTCCTACCACACACCAGTGACACACTCAATCTGATCCAACCTCCCTTCAAAGGTTTGCTTGCTCCAATCGAGCAGGCACAGGGCAGCCTGTCCCGGGTTCTCTTCCTCCCCGTGTTTCAGCTGATGTTACACAAGCTGCAATCTCTGCCCTTTAGTTTACCCAGATGGAAAACACATTTCATAATACCTACCGACACAAGAGGGTTTGTGAGGCTTAAACAAATGTTTAGAAAGTGCTTTGAGCTAAAAAGCCCTGAATGCAAAGTATATTATTGTTAGATCAGCAGCGATAAACCTGTCTCTGTGGCTAATTGGGCAAACCCCAGGAAACGGCTGTAAACAGGAAGACAAAGTCTTGCCTCCTAAATCAAAACTGAGCACACCATTATTTGGAAAACAGTCGCTGTTTGGCTCCCTCCTGACCTCCCTCCCCCACAGCAGGGAGAGAACATCAGACCCCAGTCTGAATCTACAGCCATGCTCGGTACAGCTGATGGGCAGCAGTGCGGCTGCAGGAATGAGCCTTGGGCTGTGTGCTCGCAGCAGCAGCAGGCATTCATCAGGTGGCACCATTCCTAGAGCTCCTCCATAAGCAGCAACTGCACTTGGAATATCACTGTGTCCCCAGAGGTCCCCAGGCTGGGACCGTGCAGCTGAGCATCCAGCCCCATCTGCTGGCTGCTGCGGGAGCTCTGCTGCCAGCCATGCTCCATAAAGCAGTATCATACAGGAGCAAACCTGGCCTGGGTCTAGCGTGGGCTCGCTCCACCACAGGCTTAGAATCAAAGAACAGTTTGGGTTGGAAGGGACCTTCAAAGGTCATCTTCCTCCCAGCTAAAGCAGAGGGCTCCAGGGGCACAGCTCTGTGCTCTTCTATGCTCTGTGCACAATAAACATGGCAAATAAACACATGGACCTGTGGTCACCTCTTAGGCAGCTGCAGGAACTAAACCAGACCAGAAATTCCCTAGCTACGGATTGCCTGAGACCATTTCTTCCTACAACCCATCATGAATGACTGATTTCTAATGGCAATTTTGACTAAGCCCTGCTTCTGCCCTCCAGTAACTTGTCAAACAGAAAGCCCAATGAGATTTGTTCAAACAGAAGCAACCCCGTTAACAAACAGCTTCAGAATATCCTACAGCTATCCCCAAATCCCACAATTCCCTCTACCTCTCTTTCACTTGAGACCAAAGAGATATCAAAGCATTACTCTGCTAGCACATCTTTCTGGATGCCAACCCAATTAGGCAATGCTTGTACAGCCCACCAGCATCTGAAGGAGGGAGGGAACAGCTGCACTTCTGGATTTCTGCTATCAAATTTGGGCAAAATAGTAGCTGGATCCATGCTTAAGTCCTACAGCAACACATCCAGTGTGAGTGGCTGAGGGTCACATCCTTCACCCACCCAAATACTCTGCAGATGACTAAAGCGATGCTATCGGGCTCCTGAGGCAGGCAGTTTACCCAGCTGCGATGCTTCCCTTCTGCATGGGGAATATAGGAGGACTTGGAGAGGCAGGATGTAGGAAATGAATGGGAAAAACATGGTCCCACCTACCTATCCCAGACACGCTGTCCCAGGCAATGTTCATGGCCAAGTAAGCCATCTTGGGCCCAACTCCTGGCAGCTGCACCAGCTCCTCCACGGTTCTTGGGATGTCTCCGCCGTACTTCTGCTTGAGGATAGCTGTCGTCTGCTTTATGTACTTCACCTTGTTCTGGAAAAGCAAGGGGAAAGGCAGAGAATCCTGTTGTATTTGTGCCTTCAAATAGGGGGAGAAGAGGCAAACAGCTCAGAAACCAAACCATTCCTGAATGTCCGTTACATGTGAGGCCACACACCGGAGTCTGTGCAAGGGAGACAGAGGTCTTTGCTTTCTCCTTCACCATCCCCTGCCACGAGGATGATCCTGCAGCCAACTGAGCTCCCCTCCAGGGCCTCTGAGCCACCTCAGACAACTGCATGGGAGCAGTGGAGGGGTTCTTCTAGAGGCACTCACCCTCCAGAATCCCACGGGATAAATGATCTGTCCAAGAGTGGCATCATCCATCTGCAAAATGCTGTCGACGGTGAGGCCGCGCTGCCGGAGGCGCAGCATGGCAGCCCACGTCACCTGGTCCTTGGTCTGGCTGGACAGCATCAGTGACAGCAGCACTTGGTAGCGCATGACCTGGGGACAAGGAGGCAGTGAGACACCCCAAAAGGACCCAGCCACCTCTGGGGCTTGGTTCTTCCATCCAGCACCATCTTCAAGCCGGTGCATTATATGGACCTACCCAGGATCAGCCATATCGGTCTGCAAGAGGCTGCAACAGAAATAATCCATCACCTTTTAACGTTACCACACAAGAAACGGAGATAAGAAACACCTTCAGTCCAAGCAGACAGTGTGGGTAAAAGGGCAGCTACTGTCTGCTGGGATCTCACATCCAAAGACACCAGTGCTTAGCCACAAAGGGCCAAAGCTTTTCCTGATGATGGGATTCTCAGGAGACCCCACAGGATGTAGAAGTACAAAGACCCAGTGATTTTCCATGCAACTTCTGCTCTAAGCAGCTTTTGAAAATCCCATCCCCTTCCCTCTAGGCTTCAGTAGGAATTGGGCATCTGGCTCTAGCGAGCTCCTTATGAAACCAAATCTAAAGAACTGGGATGAGAGAGACTGGGAGATGAAGCATAAACCCCAAAGCTCCTCTGGTGCTGACACACAGGGTTTAGTTCAAATCATTCACCTCCTGCTGTTCAACTGATTTTCCACCAGAATGAGGAGGATGCAACTAACCTGGCCTGACCCAGGATAACACGGGATACAATCCTTTCTCTAGCTCCTAAAGCTTCCAAAACTGCAGATGCCTTAGGATAAACCAGAGTGGATGGAAGCAGGCTAATCTCCGAGTGCATGGAATTGTGCCAGGAGCACTGCTGTGTGCCGAGGGTTACAACATCCACTTTTTCTTGGAAGCAACAACCCTGCTTCCCTAGGGAAGAGAAGTTATTTCCGTATCATGCACCGTGGTCCCCCTGGCCCCGCAGCTGCACTTGGTGCCAATCCACATTGCTGTGGAGCGTGTGACACTGCCTGAATCCAGAGGCAGAGCCAATCGTTTTCCCCAGGGATCCAATCCCAAGGCACGACGCCAGCAACAAGGAGAGTGCTGCATGTCCTGAAGCTGTGCAGCTGCATCTTCCAGACCCCTCCCTCATTGCCCAGCAGGTCGCTGTGGAGCACATAGCATTCCTGTTGCTCTGTTCCATGCACAGCCCCACATCCCAGCACCGCACCACAGCCTCACTCCACTTTGGCTTCTGTACTGATGCAAACTCCCCTTGGTTGGAAGTGTCCTCTGGGGCCTTTGATTGTGTTCCAGGCTTGGGAAGCACTGTGTCGTCCCAGCACGGCCCTTCCTTTCAACCTGCATCCATCCCCTTAACTGCAAAAGGGGAGGAAGCCAGCCTATGCTTATGTGCTGCTCTTATCTCCATAGTGTTTTTCCTTTGTGTTCCAGAGGCGGCTTGTTGCACAGTTTCCCTGGATTCTCATAGAGATAAAAAGGGCCGTGCCCTCATGCGCTGCCAGCCTGTCCCAGCGGACAGCACTGCCCCACCACGCTCTCCAGGTTTTCATTCCCAACCCCAATATCATCCTGTTTTCTGCCCCAGTTCCCACTCCGGGTTCAGCCTGCCAGCTCTCCCAGCAGCGGTTTCAGCAGAGGACAAGGACCTCGCACAGCTGTGTTTGCTGCTTGGTCCCTGATGTCCAGCATGGGCTGAATGTGAGCAGAGAACAGCTCAGCAAACACCCACTGCTATTTCACAAGGGCTGTTGGAAGCCAACGAGCCCAATACTGGAGAGGCAGTGGCTGATTTTCCTCCTCTAACAGGATGAATAGTTCCTCTCACATACATATTTGTAGGTTAACCTCTTGTGGGGCCAATCCCAGTCTCGAGTCCAAATACTCCCTGCATTGATTGTCCTGCTCTGGAGACATCCAAACCGGGACATAGGCAGGGGCACCGTGAGGATGCGGGATGCTGCAGGGCTGCATCCCACGCGCCCGCCTGCCTGCCTGCCGGAGCAGGGCGCCGTTACCTGCGGAGGCGCGCTGCTATCGTAACACATCTGCACGCCCATCTCATCGACGGGAGCATCCCTGCTCCTCCTCATCTCCCGGATGCGCTCCAGCTGCTGCCGCCAGTCCTTGGGCTCCCAGCGCGGTCTCTGGGGCTCAGACACCCCCTGCTCGTCACCGCATTCATAGGCAATGGGGACGCTCCTCCTCCTCCTGCTGCTGCGCCTCGGGATGCTGCCTGGCTGCGTGGCTGCAAGGGATGGGGCAAGGGAAAGGGAAAGGCACCTTCATCATCCACCGGAGCACAGCCACGCAGGGGACACCCTGACGAAGGCTCAGCTCCTGTCCCCGCAGCCCCAACCCGAGCCAGCGATGCAGTGACAAGCTGGGGACACGGCACTGTGCGGGGCACGGGTCCCACACACAGACCGCGGGGGACCAGGCTCACCCCTGGGTCCGGACGGCCACGTCCCGAGCACCCGTGTCCCTGTCCCCGGGTCCCCTGCCCCGTGCCAAGGCCGCGCACAACCCCGATCACCCCTCCCGGTACCTCCGGCCGCCTCCCCGGCCCTGCCGAGCCGTCGGGCCGCAGCCCGGCCACCACCGGCGGCCCCGGCCGCGCACATGGCGGCTGCCCCGGGCACGACCGGGTACTACCGGCCCCGGCGGGCCCCGCGGCGGGCGCGGAGGCCGGAAGCGGCGGGACTTCCTCCGGGGGCGGGGTGCGGAGCAGGGCCGCGGGCGGCGGGGCCGGGCCGGGCCGGGGTCTGCGGGTGAGTGAGTGAATGAGGGCCGGGCCGGGGGGGAGCGAACGGGTGGAGGCCCCGTGGTCTGCGCTGTGCGGGCCGGGGGACGCCGGGGCCTGGCAGGGCCTAGCGGGAGGCGGGGCCTTGCCGTGCTCCGGGGCTGTGCGGGGCTGCCCCCGGCCGGCGCCGTGCCCCGGTGTCCCCAGGTAAAGGTCCGGGGCGGGGGGGGGGGGTGCTGCGGTGTGTCCCCCGTGGTGTGTCCGTGAGGGGCTGTGGCATGTCCCGGCGGTGCGTGGCGTGTCCCGGCATGTCCGGGGACACGGGGGACGCGGTGCCGTGCCCGGGGCTGCGTTAGGGGCTGCGGTGTGTCCCTGGTGCAGCTGGGCCGTGGCGTGTCCCCGGCATGCGGGACAAGGCCCGTGGTGTGTCCCTGCGGAGCACAGGTGATGCCTGCGGTGTGTGTGGGGGCACAGCTGCCAGGATCGGGGGGCTGGGGCTGTGCTGTATGAGAGGAGCGGGTGTCCTCCTTTGGGGTGGGCTCTGCGGTCCCCGAGGGGCAGAGGGCTGGGGCTGGCTGGGGAGATGGTTCCTGAAGGCTGCTGTTGGGGATGTGCTGTAATGGGGGTGCTGCTGCTTGCTCCCCTCTTTCTCCTTGCCGTGGTGGCATTTGGGTGTTTGAACGCTCAGATTTGTTGTCCTTACAGTGCCTAAAGGGGCTGCCGGAAACCTGGAGAGGGGCTTGGGACAAGGGCCTGTAGGGACAGGCCAAGGGGAATGGCTTGAACCTGCCAGAGGGGAGACTGAGATGAGCTCTTAGGCAGAAGCTCTTCCCTGTGAGGGTGCTGAGGCGCTGGCACAGGGTGCCCAGAGAAGCTGTGGCTGCCCCATCCCTGGCAGTGCTCAAGGGCAGGTTGGACACAGGGGCTTGGAGCAAGCTGCAAGGTGGAAGGTGTCCCTGCCCGTGGCAGGGGTTGGAGCTGGGTGAGATCAGTCTGGGATTCCATAATGAATCAGATCTGGCTGCTTACAGCATCTCAGCGTTGGCCTTCATCCTTGTTTGAAGTGGCTTGAGACACTAGAGCGATCGATCAGTAAAAGCCACACTGTGACGGCTGGTGTTGGTGTTTTCCTGCTCAAAGATTCCCTTTCACCAAATCCCTGTTCTGTGTTTACAGGGGCCCGGCGCTGCTTCCTTGGCAGCGATGGCAAAGCCTCAGAGCAAGGATTCCGGACTGAAGGAGAAGTTCAAGAATCTCCTGGGGCTGGGAACATCCCGGGGAAGTTCCAAGCTGTCGGAGGGCAAGCAAACAGAGTTCATCATCACTGCAGAAATACTCAAGGTGTGAGAACTGACCGTAGGAAAGGGGGGGATAGTGCCTGGATTACCTGTGCTGGGAGGATCTCAGCGAGGGCTTGCTCGTTCTCCTGTCTGGCTTTGACATTCATTCCCTCTCTGAGCGTGCCTTTTCCCCTTTATCTCTCCATTCATTCTCTAGTGAAATGGATGTAAAACTCGTCTACTTTGTGCAGCGTTTGGATCCTTTTGAGGTGTTTGATGGGGTGGTGGTGTCTTATGTCAGCTCACAGGGTGTTTCCTCTGCATACATTGCTCTTCCCATAGACTGAGTTTGTGTGGTGGCAGTTAGCGTGAGCTGGAAATGGTTTCTGGTTTGTGAAAGCCTTAAAGGCTGGGGAGCTGGACCTCATGTCCCTCCTTTCTCTGCCCTTCTCCCGTGAACTGGGTGAGCACAGCAGCCAGTGAGTTACCAGCTTTCCTGAGGAAAAGGAGATGTTCTCTCTTGGCAGTTCAAAGCTGCTTGGCTCCAGTTCCGTGAAAGGTCTGGTTTTGACGGATCATTTGCTAATGGAAAAAAAGGCTTTGGAGAAATTCCTGCAAAACTCCAGTGATGACTAATGCTCAGGTCATTTTGCACAAATGTGTAATTCATTTTTCTGTGGTTCGTGAGCCCCTTTGAGGAACAGATAAGTGTTTTAGCCAGATAAACTGTTAGCTTATGTCTACATTTCTTTCCAGGAACTGAGCATAGAATGCGGATTGAGCAATAGGATCCGAGCAATCAGCCAGATCTGTGAAGTGGTGAAAACCAAAAAGATTGAGGAGGTAAGTTTCTGCAGTGGTCAGTGAATAGTGCAAGGATGATGCTCGAAACCTATTGTGAGAGGCTCCTGGAGTTTCAAGTGGCTTTTAAAACTGATAATCCCACAAGCTGTTTTGTGCTGCCCAGACCTACAAAAGGACGTTAGTGCTGTCCAGCCTATCAGCTGTGGAGCAGAGAGGACACAGCTGATGGGCTTCCTGAGCTCAGTGCTGTGGATGTTCAGGCCTGTTCAGGATGGTTCAGGGGAGACGATGTTCAGAGGTGTTTGGTACCTCCTTCTCTCTTGTTAATAAGCAGCTTCAAATTGGTTTTGAACTCATCTTGTGTTGGGGTGGAGGTTTCTGCACCAATGCTTACACTGAAGTAAGTGTGTGGATGAAGAACTTCCGTTACAGGGGTGCAAGTTGTCGTGTAGGATGGGATTTGGTGTCTCTTGTGGTTCATCAGGTGAGAGTGTCCCTCAGAAAAGACAACTCCAGACGTGAAATCCCTGAAGATCTTGTTCATAACTTGCCGTAATTAATGACTGACCTACTGGCTAAAGATCCCAGAAGAAGCCTAACCTTCCTACTGCTGCCTGTGTCCTGTGTTTGCTTGCAGCATGCAGTGGAAGCCATATGGAAAGTGGTAGCTGATATGCTCCAGCCAGAGCGCCCCGCTGAAGCCAGACACGCTGTTCTTCATCTGCTGAAGTCAATTGTTCAAGGCCAGGTGAAAACAAACAAACTACAGAAGGAACACCGCACTTACACTGGGGTTTGTGCAGAGGATGGACGTGAGAAATGCTGGGTGGCTCTTTTCTACAACTTTCCTCTTTCCTCACGCTGGTTGTGCCTCGTAAATGGGCAGAGGAAGTGTTTTAATTTCAGCCACGGTTTGACCTCATAGCAAAACTTCATCCATTTCACAGAAAACTTTTCAGGTTTGGGGCAGTGCTCTTGAAAAAGAAGAAATACTTTGGGTTATGTTCAGCATAGTACAGCAAATTATCTGGTCTGTACCAAGACCCATCAGTCCTAGGCTGCAGCTGGTTTTGATGTTTCAGCATGTCAAGTATGCAGCAAGTTCTTTATGAGATACTTTCTTAGTCTGGCCAAGTTAAGCATACTGCAGATTCTTGTGATTTCACAGTGGGCTGTACAAACTCTTATCAGACCAAAGTTCTAGTTTTCAGTAGTCTGAAAAAGCAGTGATAGATGCTTACAGAAAGAACAGACATGGATTCTGGTTTGTGGCCTTATTCTTCTTCATGCTCTGCTGGCAGAGCTGTCAGTTGCTGTTTCCATGGAATACTTTGTGTATTGGATGCTGTCTCTGTGTTGCTGGGCAAAATGCCTCCAGCCCTGAGTGCTGAGATAACAAATTGAGAAGACCTGAGCCATTGTCAGTAGCCAGTAGAGGTTGGAGGTACTTCCAGGAGACTTTCGTAGCCTGTAGGAAAATGAAATAGTTTCAAGCATGAAGGTTACTGTTACAGACTTTGATAAGGCTTTAATTGTCTTTTTCCATTAGTGACACTGTTATCTGTCTCCCTACCCCCTTTTTCTTAAGGGTGAGAGATTAGGGATCCTCAGAGCACACTTTTTTAAGGTTATTAAGGATTATCCCTCCAATGAAGATCTGCATGAACGGCTCGAAGTGTTCAAGGCTCTGACAGAGAATGGACGCTACATCACCTACCTAGAAGAAGAGTTAGGTGAGTATTGTCTCTGCCCCTCTTCAGTTTTGTGGGAGGAAGTCAAGGGACAGGCATCCTATGACAAGATAAAAAGGCAGAGATAGCTCTCCTGGGTAGAAAGTGTATTGTAATGTTTTGTTTCCCTTCTTTAGCTGACTTTGTGCTGCAGTGGATGGATGTGGGTTTGTCTTCTGAGTTCCTTCTGGTTTTAGTGAACCTGGTGAAATTCAATAGCTGCTATCTGGAAGACTACGTAGCTGACATGGTGCAGTAAGTGTTCTTTTTTTAACTTCTACCTGCTTATTCTTGGTAAATTACAGGAGAAAGCTGCAGATCAATACCTGGATAAGTGGAATCTTTTTCATCCCATCTGGATCTATTTAATTCCAGGTCACACCTGGCATTTCTGCCAAATTTTTGATTCT